AAGACTGTTTCTTGATTTTGTGTGAGAGAATTGCTTGCACTTTACTCCAGGATAGTTTCCAACTGAGTAAGCTGTTTTTAGAATTGGAGAATTATTTGTGGTATAACAATTGAGTTGAAAAGCTGAAACTTTTAAGTCATAGAGGTCTGTTTCATTCTAACAGCATTTTCTTTTGACATTCAGAAATATTTCCTTATTTTTTCTAGATATTGTCTATATTTGCCTGAATCTTGTCAAATCATGATTTTTCCTCTGTATTGCATGCAAAATATGATCTCAGCTTCAGTTCTTTGAAAAACAAAGAAAAAAAAAACTCCAAAATGGGAACTCTACCATCCTGAGTTAAGTATTTGTAGAACTGGAAGAACTTCCTTAATCATATTCAAATTCGTATGTTAACCAGTGAATAGTCACCCAGGAAAATAGAAGAAAGGGCATATTGGTCTTTCAAATTGTTTCTTCTTTTCAGGAGTATGAAACACATCATCCAACAGCAGTGTAGGAAAAGCAATTAATTTTTTTTTCTTTGTACCAACAGTTGCCCCGGAAGATCCTAGCAGAAAGGTAGACGGTGATACCATTATTTTCTCACATGTGCAAGAAAGGTCAAGTGCTGTCTATCAGTGCAATGCTTCTAATGAATTTGGATACTTGCTAGCAAACGCATTTGTGAATGTTCTGGGTAAGAAACAGGCTTTATATTTTTCATTTTTCTTGGGTATTCAGTCATCTCCTGATACTACACGGATTGCATGCTCAAGCCTTGCTTGAGGTCTTCAGTGGGGATGGACATGTTTCCTGAGCCCTGCAAAAGGCAAAGGTATACATACCTTGTTTTTATAGGATATTCCTGAATTTCACTTCCAGTATTCCGAAGTAAGAAGGATAGTTGTGAAAGCTGGAGAAAACTTGGAAGAAATTTTGTCTGGTTTTTTTGTTTGTTTATGTAAATCAAGCAAATGGAAGCGTAACAAATAAGTCAGGAATTAATATTCATTAAATCAGTATGTTCCAGTACACTGTCATTGATTGTGGATGTTTTGGATCAGTTAAATAGATGGTCTCTAAATTGCTATTGCAAGGGGATATGATTATGCATTTGTTCTGAAGGCCTCCCAAGAATGTGTTTCTAGTTACAAGACATTTGTGTGTGGCCTCTCTAATTCTTCTCACTGAATTTAACAAAGCTAGTAGCAAAATCCTAGGCAAAATGGCCTGTAAAGGCTCTCCTGCAGGAACTGGCAGATCTTTTCATTGAGAGACACTGTCTTTTGAATGGAAGAAAATGTAGGTGTTTCACCAAAAATACATCTTAGCTTCTTTCCGCCTGCCGGTTTGTTCAGGGTTATGTCGTTCGGTCTGTTCCCAGGAGTTTCTCTTGAAGTATATCCTGATTTTAATTTTCCAATTGAACTCACTGCCTTTGGTGCCCATCCCTATTACTTGTAAACAGGGAAGAAGCATTCATTTTTCACAAGATAGTTCTCCTACATTAACATTTCCTCAGGCTGCTGGCAGTAGAACATATTTGGACCTAGACTGAGACCAGAAATCGCTTTGGAGAAGGATGTTAACATATAATTCTTTAGGCCATTCTTGATGTCTTAGTATTTTGTATTTGTGTCTGTGTATCTATATCCAGATATCTTTGTCTTTTCAGCTGAGCCACCAAGAATTCTAACTCCTGCTAATAAACTGTATCAAGTTATCGCAGATAGTCCTGCATTGCTAGACTGTGCTTATTTTGGTTCACCTAAGCCTGAAATTGAATGGTAAGCTATAGTTGTCATGCTTAAGTTGTGTAAAAAAGAGGCTGTTATATCTATGGAAACAAACATTTAAAGCTTTAAAACTATTTTTACTCTATTTACAATATTAAAATAGTGTATTTTTAAATATATGCTGATTACAATATGCTTATACACTATTACGTATACTTAATGATACAACAGTTAAGTTATCCCTAGTTAGAGTCAAGCCTAAATTTCCTCATGTGATTCTGTCTGTATTTTCTAATGTGGCAGTCCCAAGTTTGCATTTTGTGATAATAAAATACAACAGAATTTGACTGTGATGTTGGATAATTATATTACTTTTTATATAAAGGTTTAAGGGAGTGAAAGGTAGCATCTTGCGTGGAAATGAATATGTTTTCCATGATAATGGCACCTTGGAAATTCCGGTGGCTCAAAAGGATAGTACTGGTACATACACATGTGTAGCAAGGAATGAATTAGGAAAGATACAAAATGAAGTGCAATTGGAAGTTAAAGGTAAGACATGAATCATTCTTTTATAACAGGTTAATAAGAGTTTCAGACTTTAGAAGTGTCTAACAGTTATTTTAAATTTCAGATCCAACAATGATAATTAAACAGCCAGAATACAAAGTGATTCAGAGATATGGCCAAGTTTCATTTGAGTGTATAATAAAACATGATTCTACCTTATTACCGACAGTTGTGTGGTTGAAGGACAGTGATGAACTGCCAGATGATGAAAGGTATGGACAAAATAATTTTCCTTTATTTTTAATTTTCTAGTTTCTTTTGTCTGTTCCTTTCCCTGGTGTCTGAAAGGAACATATTGACCTATTGACATTTTCCAAAGGAGACTGATAAATGTCGTCACTGTCCCATATTTAGTGACTAAAGGACTTAACCTAGTATGGTGAAAATACTAAGACAGAATTCAAAATAAAATGAGATGTAAAAAATTTTAATTGTGCACATTGCCCATGTATATCAATTGTAAGGGGAAGATAATTGGCATAAGAAGCCAAACAGACAATGGATGACTATTTTGCTGTAGATCACAGATAATTAAAATTCGTTTGAGTATATTTGGAAATGAAAGCACATGAGGACAGACATTGCTGTGGGAAGATGGTCAAGAGCAATGTAGAAAAGGCTGTCATAGTCCCATAGCTTACATTGCTGTCTAGGTGTTTGCTGAAAAACACAACTATATGGGATTTGGTAATGTCTTATGCAAGTTTCTTATAACAGTACCAGTTATTGAAAAATCAGTGGCTGAATCTATTGTATTTACAGGTTTCTAGTTGGTAAAGACAACTTGACCATTATGAATGTAACTGATAAAGATGATGGAACATACACTTGCATAGTTAATACTACTCTGGACAGTGTTTCAGCAAGTGCTGTGCTTACTGTTGTTGGTAAGAATACTCTCAAAATTTATGATAGCAGAACTGTGTTTAATTACTGTTACGTATGAAAACAGCATTAGATTTAAAATGAAAAGCACAAACGTAGTTTTGGTTTCTAGGACAGAACAAAGGAAACGTCACCTATTTGTAAATGCATTTCAGTTTTTTAAAAATACAGTCTTACCCTAAAGCCTTTGAATCAGCTACTTACAAAAGGGTCCAGTAGCTAAAGGACACATTCAGTTTCATGGTGTATAGGTTTTTGTTTGGATCACATCTGGGCTAACACAGTATGTTATGTATTGCGGAGTATTTGAATGTAAATATGTTATCTCAGGAATCTCTTTTGCAGCTAATTTATGCTTCAGAAAGACTAAACATGCTTGGTTGTATAACTTTTCAAGGATTTTCTTTTTAATTTAGTTCTCCCTGTTACATTTCTATGATTGCAGGTTGTTGTAGAATATATTACTTTGCCCCTGCTCCCAATTTGTAAGAAAGGTTTGAGTAGATGTCCTGAATGATTCTTACCTGAGCTCAAGCTGACATTCAAAGTCAAGTGTACTTGTGTTTTAAAACTGTGTTGTGATCTTATGCCTATCCAGGAATGACATACACCAAATGTCTAGTATTTATTTAAAACTTTTTATAAGTTTACTTACTTTATTTATTTTCTTGGTCTATCCATATTAAAAAAGGGATAAAATATTCAAAAATTATATCTTCTCAGTGAAAAATTACCAATGTATTATTTAAAATCAAACATTTATTCTTAATAAGTTAACTTTTCTTTGTCTCTAATAATTATAGTCTTTAACTGCCTACAATATTCTGTTTCTTTGGCTACTAACTGATTAAATCCTTTATATTAATGTTCTTTTCAGCTGCTCCCCCAACTCCAGCTATCATTTACGGTAAACTAATATGAAGTTCTCTTTGTACATCATCTTCCAGATATATTTTTCATTTGCCTATTGCAAAGTGCAACATCTTTTTTTCCCTTTTTCCTGTGTTTGTGTGTGTGTGTGTGGTTTCTTCCCATTTTACCAACTGCTTCATTACCGGAGTACTGGACTTTGGAATTTTATAGTGCAGGCTGCTTTGTATTTTAGGGAATAAATGATTTTCAGAGGTAAATTCTTTTAATTAAAGTTGGTTACAGTGTGATATTTTTTTCTCATAGAGAACACTGTAATGCAACTTAGTTATATAGTAAATGAAAAGGGTAAAAGGTAAATCGAACTGTTTGTTGAAAGCTAATTCACTGTCAAAGAACATGCACCAACGAAATTATGGTATCCTTTTACATTGCTTTTCATGACAGCTTTGTAGGCCTAGTGTACTTTATTTCATAGTTTGTCTTCATTTTACTTCACTCATAAAAAAGATAGGACCATATTGACCAGTTTTGTTTATGATTGAAATTGCTAATAAGGATTTTAAAAGTAAAGCTGAAATTCCCCCCCAAAAAAATCTGTCAGGTACAGTCTTCAATTTGACAATATGCAGTCTTTAATTTGGTAGCATTTTTTTTCCATTTGGTTTTAAAATGCAATATGATATGCCTAAAATACTTTAAGTATGACCGTCTTAAGCACTTTTATGTACATCCTATCACATTCAGTGAAAATGCTTTTGTATTCTTAAATGACCCTACTTATTACTCTTGATTTTTGTGTAACAAATCATATAATTAATTATTTTCAGCAATTTGGAATGGACAATTACATCTTTATACATTATAAAGGTGTATATTAACAGCTTGCATGGTATTTCAGGATTTTCTAAAAGTACAGCAAAAAATAAATTACTTAGTAACTTGCAGTTAGTTTCTATTTGAACTATATTTGTTTTGAATTCACATGCAAAATATTTATAGTGAGTCTAGAAAAGCTTCTTTGATGTGAATGCTTCTTTACTTTCCATATTTTATTAAATATTTCTAGTTACAATAGATAACCACCCATTATCATTCAAAGATAAACTAAACATGGATTTAATAATTCTTTGCATCTCATTACATTTTTATATCACAGTTCAATCAGACGTAGATAAAATCAAATATAGATTCTCTTTAATGTATAGAAGTTTCCAGATACATCAGTTCTCCATTTTATCTCTGTTTTGTAACAACTGCATGCTAATGGTCATTAAACCATGCTTATGTAAGTGAGTAGATCTGCCCTGCTGTATTTGTGGAATTCTTTTCGTTGGAATGTAAGGATTTTTTTGAAGATGAAACTACATATTCTACTGTGGTTATTTACTTTGTGTTCATTTGATTTACAGCTCGGCCAAATCCACCCTTTGACTTGGAATTGACGGGTCAGCTAGAAAGAAGTGTTGAACTGTCATGGATACCAGGAGATGAAAATAACAGTCCCATTACAAGTATGTTTGTTTGTATATATTGCAGTACATTAGCAGCACTACGTTAACTGTGCTCAGATTACAAAGAGTTCAGAGATAAATTTTGTGTGCCACATGGAAGAATGGTAAATTAATTCACTACAGTAGCCATTTATTTATATAACAAAAATTCACTGAAAGTCCTTTACTGTCCAGCCAAGCAGAAAGACTTATTTACTGCCCTAAAGAGCTCGGCTTTTGATCCAAAACCCTGTACTAGTTAACATAGAAGTTGATACTGGTATGAGCTATGTCTGACAAGGTCCAGTCTTATGAATATGTAGAGAATAGGTTTGTTCACTAGTTGTATGCGTCTGAAGGAGAGAGCTACTAACATCTTGTATTAACTGTTTTGTAATTCCCATGAATTTGAAATAGCATCTGTACCAGTATCTTCACAGATTATCCATCACTACTGATACAGCAGCTTATTCTTCATGAAAATATAAGGCAGATGGTTTTTATGGTTTTTTCTGTTCCAGACAGTTGAAGGACTAAAGCATGTCTGTAAGCATGTGCCCTTAAGTGCCCTTGTGGCCAAGAAGGCCAATGGTGTCCTGGCGTGCATTAAGAAGAGTGTGTCCAGCAGGTCGCGGGAGGTCCTCCTCCCCCTCTACTCTGCCCTGGTGAGGCCACCTCTGGAGTACTGTGTCCAGTTCTGAGCTCCCCAGTTCAAGAGGGACAGGGAACTACTGGAGAGAGTCCAGCAGAGGACTACTAAGATGATTAGGGGGCTGGAGCATCTCTCTTATGAGGAAAGGCCGAGAGACCTGGGTCTGTTTAGCTTGGAGAAGAAAAGACTGAGAGGGGACCTTATCAACACTTATAAATATGTAAGGGGTGGGTGTCAAGGGGATGGGGCCAGGCTCTTTTCAGTGGTGCCCAGTGACAGGACAAGGGGCAACAGGCACAAACTGGAGCACAGGAAGTTCCACCTCACCATGAGGATAAAACTTCTTGACTTTGACGGTGGCAGAGCACTGGAACAGGCTACCCAGGGAGGCTGTGGAGTCTCCGTCCCTGGAGATACTCAAAACTGCCTGGACACAGTCCTGTGTAACCTGCTCTTGGTGAACCTGCTTTAGCAGGGGGATTGGACTAGATGATCTCCAGAGGTCCGTTCCAACCTCTACCTTTCTGTGATTCTGTGATTCTGTAAGACAGAAAAAAGAAATCTATAAACTTTTTGAGACAGGAGATTGATCTTGAATGCTATTTTTCCTCTCAGTAGAACATGGTGAAAGATACTCTTGCTTATATTGAGCAGAGCGGATGGAGGGGGAATTTAGGAGGAAGGAAGAAGGATATTACTGTTTGTTTTCCAAAAAAATAATAGGATCAGAAAGATTTGTTGGGGCAACTTTTCATTATGAGCAACTTAATGTAATTATTTAATTATTTATGCAGTGTATTTTTAGTTAGTAACTGCCACAAGTTACCAAAACTGGTGTGCACATTGTATTTGGAATGAATGGGTTAGGCTGTCTTATAGAGTGGTTCTCTCCACAGTCTGATGTTGATCAGTATCAACACTGAACTAACCATAATGATCAGGCATCTGAAAGGGGGGTTTGTAAAAACAGAATTTCACAAATTCCAGAACATATCAAAGACTTTGATTGCATTTTAGTGAAACACCAAGAGGTTTGCCGAAGTTTTACACTTTCGGACTTGTCTAACGTATATCAACTAGTAACACACTTTTTAAAATAAAACATAAAGAAGTTTAATGTAAATGGTTGAATTGTCTTTAAGTTACGGCTTATTAATACACTCTTCTGTAAGTATTTTCATTTTTTTCCAGACTAGAAGACACAAGTCTTGCCTTTCTGTAGGAATGAGATCACACTGTTTCAAAACAAGTGATACTAGGTGGTGCTGGCTCGTGTCAGAGTTTTTCTAGAAGCAAGATATTGCATGTACTCTGATACTGGAAATTGAACTCTTTTGACTAAATGATGCTGGTTTTAATTATGATACAATTTATATTGCTGCATGGACCTCTGAGAGCCTGCAACATAAGGCATTTGGTTCATAAGTAAGCCTGTTATTGCTGCTGCTGATGCTATCACTTCAAAGTGCAAATCAAGACTCAAGGACAGCACTTCATTATGAGTGATCCCTTTACACAAGTAGTGTGTTTGACATGCTAGAATCTCTCTGAAAGCTCAAACAGAATTTTTTTCCTTGAAGTCTTCTTTAAATTGTTCTACTAGGTTTGCAGGCAGAATGCTAGTTACTAGGGAAGCAGAAAGCAGTAGTGAAATCTTTGCGGGTGCTTTTTTTGTTTAGGATGCAATATCCTTTTGAACAAAGACTTTGGTCCAGAAAAAATCCCATCCCAAGACCTTTATCTGTGAGCACACAACACCAGCTATAACTCAGGCAGTAATTCGGGGCCAGTTCTCCCTCTTTCTTACTACTCAGGACAGGATGAAATCTGCAAGCTTTAAGTCCAGAAGGGTATGAATAGTACTACTTATCTATTTTTACTTCTTGAACATCTTGGCTTCTCAAACTGTTGTGCATTATTTCCATGTGGTACTGTAAGTATTCTTCTAAAAGCAATTTCTAGCTGCCCCTCAGAATTTCTTTAGTAGTGCAAACAGGATGTATTCTGAGTTGTATTCTGGCTTCTTGTCCCCACCTACACGTGAGATAGGGGAAAATTTTTGTTACACAACACACAAACATTTGATTCTTGTGTAAATTTCTTATATCTAAACTTAAAGTTCCATGGAATATAAATGCGTTCTTCTCCCATTTATTTACTGTAGCCTAACAATGCCTCCTTAGTGTTTCAGAATTTTTATCTCATGCCTAAGAGCAGGAAGCTTTTTTGGCTGTTTCACAGCTGAAAAAAAAAATGTCCTTTTGTCTTTGATAATGCATATGATTTTCTTTTTGGAGTTCTACAAACTGATTTATCCATGAGGTTATATACTCTGTAGGGTCTTAACAGTAATCATCGTAGTAATCTTCACACAGAACTCTCAAGAAATTTAGCTTCTGAACGTTCCTTGACTTAATTTGAAGATTCTGAAAAGTGCTCTCAAAAACCTTCTTCAAGTATTGGTTCTTGACTTTAAATAGTTCTTCACTAAGTCAGTTTCACTGGGAAAAATGGAATACTGAAAGATTATTAATATTGTACATGTAGTACTTACTCTTAGCTTGATATAAGTAAGACCAATATATTTGTCAGCCAAATACTACTTTTATATCAAAATTCCAGTCTTGTCCCACTTTCTTGCTGTGATAGTTCAAGGGTTCCTGTTATGTTAAAATCTGGTACCTGAGAGAGGGCTCTTGTAATAATGTGTTACCTGACAGGAAGCTGCATTAGTGAGAATACCAAATAATAAAAGTAAGAGCGCTTCTATTGTATTTCTACCTAGGCAGTACTTTTGAGATCCGCATTATAGATCTGTATTCTGGTTTATGTACTTATATTTCAATGTACTTGATCTTTAAAAATGTTGGTTGGATCACTCCCTTCTGATCAGCTCATTCAGAAATGCCTACACTGATCTAGGAGAGTGTTGGAGGTTTTGACATAAAGTTGGATTCAATTTCTATTTACAGACTTTGTGATTGAATATGAAGATGGGCTGCATGAACCAGGGGTATGGCATTACCAGACGGAAGTTCCTGGAACTCAGACAACAGTACAGTTGAAGTTGTCTCCGTACGTCAACTACTCATTCCGTGTGATAGCTGTCAATGAGATTGGCAGAAGTCAGCCAAGTGAACCATCTGAGCAGTACCTGACAAAATCTGCAAGTAAATAACAATTCCCACCTACCAGTGATTGATTTATACTATGAATGGCATTGAATTTGCTTGGAATGCAAACAGCAGTCATTCTTGGTCATGTGTAAATATTTTATTTTTAGACCCTGATGAAAATCCTTCTAATGTACAAGGGACAGGCTCAGAACCTGATAATTTGGTAATAACATGGGAGGTAAGTTTGTTTTTTCGAGGTTTCATTTGTTTGTTTTCAGGTCTGTGAGTAGCATTTTTTTTTGAGAAATAATAATGATCTAACTGTGAACACGCTGTGAGAATACCCAGTCCATTGCTTGCAGATTCTTGAAAAAGAGTAACATCCAGATATTCTCCTGTCTTCATTTTCAGGGAAAAGCTGCATGTATTATGAATGAAAAAAAAAAAAAAAATTAAGCTACTGTGTTTTCCCTGAGTGGTTTCTCAAGATAAGCCATTAATTTGGTAATACAGGCTGTTTTGCTGCCTATTTAGGAAAGCTTAAATATGTAAATTGATGTTTATCTCAATAGAGTCTTATTTTTAGAATTAAATCTAATGTGAATCCTAATTCTACCCTCAACTTTTGTGATAAACTAAATTTTTGTGCACTCTTGCCCTAAAAAACCTTTGTGGAAAAGTTGATCTCTATCATGCACTTACCATCGTGACAGGAGCTCAAAGAGAGCCATGTAAAACCAATTTCTCATCCTAGGCAAGAAACATTGTCCAGGCAACACTGCTTTTAGACAGTTGGTGTAAGTCTGTTTTTCCCTCTTCCACTTAAGAAATATTGGAAAACAAAATATATATACAGAAATCACAATATACGGTTGCATGAGAATTACCCAGGATCACCATTCAATGTGATTTTTACTAATGAATGAAAAGCAATTGAAATTACTCCCTGTAAAAGCTAAATTGCATAGCTTGGAAATTTCAGCAGTGCTCCTCTGTCACACAACACAGTGGTAAATTTTCAGTAAAATTCTAAGGAATAATCAGTGTATTTCCTTTGTGACTTTGGATTTTTCAAATGCTTCAGAATATTTAAAAAATGTTTCTTTTCATTTCAGTCTTTAAAAGGTTTTCAGTCAAATGGACCAGGGCTTCAGTACAAAGTCAGCTGGCGTCAGAAAGATGTTGATGATGAATGGACATCTGTTATAGTTGCAAATGTATCTAAATATATTGTGTCTGGTACACCAACTTTTGTTCCCTATGAAATAAAAGTACAAGCTTTAAATGACCTGGGATATGCACCAGAGCCATCAGAGGTGATTGGACATTCAGGGGAAGACTGTAAGTTTTGTAGTTTGACTCAATTGTACTAATTAAAAGCAACTAAACGTGTAAGCTAAATGGGTATTTAAAATCCTAAAATATTGGAAAAAGGGGATAGTAGTTATTTTTTTAATTGAAATGAAGTAATTTGGAGATAATAAGCCTTCATAATACTCTGTAGTATTAATCCTGAGGTCAGCTTTTTAACATAGGAGCATTTTAACCTGCTCCTTGAGTACAATGCAAAGACTCATTCTGCAAAAGTATGTTTGTGTGGTTTCTCATTCTAACTAGGTACTTGTTACATCCTTTCCACACAGTGCCAATGGTTGCTCCAGGCAATGTGCAGGTTCATGTTATTAACAGCACATTAGCCAAGGTGCATTGGGACACAGTTCCACTAAAAACTGTCCGAGGACACCTTCAAGGGTACAAAGTAAGTACAGTCAAAAGCATTCTGTTTTTCATTTGTTGAAGTAGATCACTCTTCCTATATGAGATTGTGTCCAGATTGAAGTAACTGACATGTAAGAGGACTCTTGCTTTTCAGCGAGCTCACAAACTTTGCTGACAAGAGCAACAGCGTTGATGTAGTTCATTTAAAGTTCACCAGTGTTCCAGCCTTGTAGCCCTAGCCTCCTCTGACATTGTCCTTGAAAAAAATTGGGATGTGCTTGCCATTAAGGTTGCACATGTTCTATACATATCTAGAGGAGGAAGAGAAATAGTTTCTCTAGGAGTCTTTTCTAGATCTAATGCTAAGATTACTTGTCTTCTGCCATAATATGATTAATGACATCTTTAATTCTGAGTAACTGGCCACTTGCTACCTTATGCTGGGTGCTGTGTCTTTTTGGAGGCCAGGAAAAAGTTCAGTTTAAAAGCTCAATTTAAGGAGACAGGAAATGTCAAAAGCTTCGGACTGTACATATAATTGAAGGAAGCTTAGTGTAAGATGATGTGCTGGCTTTGATAATAAGTGAGAAGGCTGTGTTGGAGACAAAAGACTGCAATTAGAGAATGGGAGACAGAAGGACTTCAAGGTTAGAAACTCGGGGAACCGGAGTCCTTGGAGGACAGAGAAAATCTGATGGCAAAAGTTGCTACAGGGGTTGCACTAGAAGCCCATGAGAAGAAACTCAGGGGTGGAAACTGTGTGAGTATGGTAGACTGGTTGTGGAGTGGAATGACAGGATATACTAACTTCCCATGAAACTTGAAAATGTACTTGCTCCTCTGCAAGTATACTGATAAATGTGTTCTAACAAAACAGACTAGTTATACAGCCTGAAACAGACTAGTTTGAACTACTTCTGTTTAAATGAAATGAGGAAAAAGGAATATTTGAAAAATGAAAAAAAGTAGAGAATATTTGGATGAGAATAAATATATATCATACCTACGAAATGGAGGACTAGCATTCAAGATCATTGAAACTGAACTTCAGTGCATTACAGCTGGTTTCCACATGAATGTGAGTTCCTGGTATGTGGATATCACTTACCTGGCGCAAAATACCACCATCCAGACAGACTTAAGCTAGTTCTGTATGAGCTAGTATAAGTATTTGCAGTTATGTGGCACTTTGCCTTAGATAATAAGCTCGGCTGAGAAACAGGATTTGTTAGTCTGTCAAATGTTTATCTGTTAGATGACAGTCCACCTGGTATTTAACACAGAAATGTGCAACAAAAAGAAAACATCCATTATGTGAGGATTAAGAGTTAGAATTTAGTGAAGTTGATGCTTGTTATTAATCAACTCACAGCAGTGCTAATGCTCATAATCCAAATCACCAAATTGCTGTTAAAGATCATTAATAATGCCAAAAAATCCATAGGCACAAACATCTGCCCCTACATCAGCTGTTCTTACCCTTCGAAGGCACAGTTACAGTGAGTTGTCATCATCTCAGGTTTAGATGGAGATTTCTTTTTCCTCAAACTTGGAGTTTCTGAGGGTTATTTTCTGTCCTGTATTTACTAATAGGTTGCATACTTTCCTCTCCAGTAGGTCTAAGGGGTTAGTCCTGCCATGATTACTTCTGTTCAGTGCGTTACTCTTTCTCTGTATACAGTATGATTTTTTTTTCTGTGAGGAGGAGAACCACCTAATAACATAAAGCTAAGCAAAACTGAAGCTAAATAAAGTTAGTCAATAATTATAAATAAAACAAGCTCAAGACCACAGGATTGACAACAAACCTCGCCACTGACCATTTTTGCTGTTATGGTTATGACAAATGTGGCAATGGTATATCCTTGAATAATGCAGTGTTGCATTAGGGACACATATCTTAATAGAGAGAAGGATGATTCTCTGAAGAGTCATGTCATGAAGACAAATGTATGAACAAAGCAGGAAGACGTCTAACTAGCAGCAGTCTACAGCACATCACTCATATTTGCTCTTGTGTTAATCTAGCTATTACTCAATATACTGTAGTACTATAAAGCATTTCAGGCCTAAAAAGAATTCCTTTCACTGTTACTGCTGCCATTTTTTTTCCTGTTACTGTTACGAATTCAGTGGTTATTCAATGCAGTATATGAAAAATGTGATATGGTCTCTTTTACTGTGATATTTCACATCCAAATTACTTTTTATCAAACCCAGCTTATTAAAGCTCTCTTTTAATTTCAGCATGGCTAGTGACAAGTGATGACCCAACAATAATAATGTGCTTTGTGAAATGTTACTGGGTAACAATTCTTAAAATATCATGCGCTATACCTTATGAGTTTCAATACTAATAGTACCACTACTTCAATCTTTTGTTAACTTGTAAATGGCTTTCAGCGCTAGTTTGTAGGATGAGAGCTACAGGATGACAGCTGGCAGTGTTGAAAAACATTAACTCAAGCCCCGTAAAACACAGCGGCATGTAACAGTGATTACAGTGAAATGGTATTGTGTTAGCAATAGAAAGCTAGTGTTAGTGTAACACTGCTTTATAAGCTATCTAGTTGGGCTTTGTAAGTCTTAACAGTTCTCTTTTTTGAATTCATATGTGAAATCTCAGCTTCCTTAATTAAAGAGGTGTTTTACCCATTTACATTGCTTCATCAGTTTTACTGTGTGATCATACATGCATGAAAATTATGCTGTGAAAAATGAACAATGATTTATTTGATGGTGACGGTCCTAAGAGTAACACAGGTCTTTGTAGGGGCAACTGTTAATATCTTTCCAGATACCATGGCTTTAAACTGAAAGAGGTACATTTAGATTGGGTATTAGGAAGAAGTTCTTCACTGTGAGGGTGGTGAGGCACTGGCACAGGTTGCCCAGAGAAGCTGTGGCTGCCCCCTCCCTGGCAGTGTTCAAGGCTAGGTTGGATGGGGCTTTGAGCAACCTGGTGTAGTAGAAGGTGTCTCTGCCCATGGCAGAAGGGTGGGAACTAGATGATCTTTGAGGTCCCTTCCAACCCAAACCATTCTGTGATTCTATATCATGGTAGAGAGACTGTGTAATAAAGAGAGTGCAGTCAAGGTAATTACCTCTGAGGCTCATTCATGGTTTCTTAGAAACTCGATCAGCAAAATGGACACCAGAATCAGGTTTATGGTCTGATCTAATTGTCACATAAATGGACAAATAGTCTTCCTGTCCCTAGGAGGAGATCATTCTATGACCGTAACTTTGAAACTGGGTTTTGCAGCCCAGACAGATCTTTTGGTTTCTTTCCCATTTAAAAATATCTACTTGGCTTCCATATCACAGGGAATAGCATGGTCAGGTGTGTAACATGACAAGGTGGCAAAGTCTAAGTCTGCTTTGTAAGCTGTGTAGATACCTTACTGAAAGAATCGATGGTATGAATGAGTCCTGCCTCTCAGATGGACTTGCTAACGTGAGAACCATCATATATTAACACACTTCCAAACCAAAACTTGTGTCAAACTAGCCCGCAGAACTGGCAGGTGATGGTCTTCACCCAGCTATGTAGACATGACTGTTTCTGGACAAGGTCTGTTTCTGGAGCAGGAAAGCTCTATGCTATGTCTCACATGAGCTTATAAAAATTGCAGTTATTCCTACCTATAATTCATGGATATTCATGGAAAAGCTTAGAGTTTGTAAAATCAGAACACCTAAACACTCACTGTAGATTTTCTTTTGTCTTTAGGTTTACTACTGGAAAGTGCAGAGTCTATCCAGAAGGAGTAGGCGGCATGTAGAAAAAAACATCTTGACTTTCAGGGGAAACAAGACTTTTGGAATGTTGCCAGGGCTGGAGCCCTATAGTTCTTACAAGCTGAATGTTAGAGTTGTTAATGGTAAAGGAGAAGGACCAGCAAGCCCAGATAAAGTATTTAAGACCCCTGAAGGAGGTATGAAATGAGAAAGCTAGAGAATAAAATTAAATATGGTATATTCAGAAATAGAACACTAAGGGTGTAGTTGTTGAATTTGCATCTTGGACATCATAAAATAATAATCTGGCTCAATACAGTAATATTCTTAAGAATTAAAAATTCATGAGCTGTTTTAAGTTAATCTACTTTGTATTTACTCTATATTCTTCTTAAAAGTTCCTAGCTCACCCTCCTTTTTGAAGATTACTAACCCAACATTGGACTCTCTGACTCTGGAGTGGGGTTCACCTACCCATCCAAATGGTGTTTTGATATCATATACACTGAAGTTTCAGCCAAGTAAGTTAATTATGAATATGTAACTCTAACTTAGACAATATGTCTACCAAATAGAAATCCACTTATTAAGAAAAAAATATGTTAAATTTATAATGTACAAAAGATATGATTGCATTCTGGATGTCAGGTTTAAAATACATTAATGTGTTTTGACACTATAGATGACTCTATTTGGAAAACTTCCCTTGCCCAAGAGCAAGGTTAGCATTTTTCCGTTACTTTTATTTCTTCAAACTGGGCTTCACAGAAAAATGGAGGTGAAGTCCTACATATAACTGACAGCCAAGTTAGAAACAATATATTACCACTTACAAATTCTATATTCTAACTGCAGATAAAATATCATTGGAAGCAGATCAAAATACATAAAATTATATTGTTCGTTTCTTCAAGTTTTCATGGTATTTTAATTTTAAAATGAATACTTCATAAATGTGCCATTTACTCATACCAGAGCTATACATCATTTCCTTAGAATCCTCATGCCACTGCTTACTTTCCCAGAAATTTGTCAGCAGTGACACTGGAAATTTAACAATTTCATGTGCATGGAACAGATTAAGGAAGTTTCTTTTCTTCCACTTGCCAACTTCCATTGTTCCTTGGCATTAGATACAAATCACTTCAGTTTTGTTTTTTTTTTCCCTAAGCATACTGAATTTATTATGAGGCAGCTACTTTAGAGTTTCAGAATTTTTTAATTATTAGCGTTTCAAATGTGTGTAAGTTCAGGTGATTTGATGTGGACTCAGTTGCCTTGGATTCAAATATTTACAAGAATGGAACTTGAACTTAAAAAAGTGATAGGTGTTTTGTGTCCCCCTTTGAATTTTGGCCCCTCACATAGATCCTCTTTACACAACGGTGACTTTCTTTTGAAAGTGTAGATTATCATTCGTATAACCTGAAATGAACAATGCAGCAGACAAACAAAACAAATGTTAACAAAAAAGCCTGTTTTAACACAATGATAATGTAGGCAATTTTTCTAACTTGCTCTTTTTTTTTTTCCTTTGTAACAACAGTTAACAACACACATGAATTGGGTCCCCTGGTAGAGATAAGAATTCCTGCTAACGAGAGCAGCTTGGTGTTAAAAAATTTAAATTACAGCACACGGTACAAGTTTTACTTTAACGCACAAACTTCAGTTGGATCAGGAACTCAGATAACTGAGGAAGCAGTAACAATTATGGATGAAGGTAAGATGGGTATGTATAAAGAAAACCCACTGAGTTTAAAAACCACTACAAATTTTATTAAAAATATTGCTACTATTTCCTTCCATTAAATAAATAGCCCCTTGTATTTTTTTTCTAGAGCTTTCTTAACTGTATTATACACTAATAAAAGATTATAAATAGTTTTTAAGAAAAGATGTGCAAAGGTTTTGTGCTGCAGTGGAAGCCCCAAAAGATGTGTAAAGCCCCTCCTTTTGATAGAAACCTACAAGTTCTAAGACTTTGGCTTTCCTGGGCTTTAAAGTTTCATGTAACCTTATGTTTTAAGTGGTCTTCCTCCATTCACCTGTTCTGCTTCATTGGCCTGCTTTGGTCACAGAGAGCAATACTGAAATGATGCAGCTTTATGGCTAGAGGAAATGGTTTCTCTTTTGATGTATGCAACAGCTTCTGTGAGGTCTAAACTTTTTTTCACAGAGCTGGCAAAAATTGTAACTTCAAAAAACCTTCAGAAATAAATTTGTCATCTATGGCCCCAAATAACCGGTGACATTGTATAATGTTTAAAAACTCTTAAGTATATTGTTCAATTGTGTCACTATTGTTTTTTAATGTTTATAGCCATTCTAGATCTCTGATTTTGGCAGTTCTTTTGTGGAAGATGTTATTTATTTAATAGTAAATAAAGAGTAAATTTGAAGCAAAGGGGAAATTTTGGGGGAAAGTCTTTTATGATTTTGTGCATCTTAATACTAAAAGTCTATTTTGATATCATCTTTTCATGTATTTTTATGCTTATAAAATAATAGTTTATTGGAGTTGCCGTAGATGAGTTGGAATGCAATGCAGTTTCTCTAATAGTGTATTAAGATTGCATATGAACTAAATTTATTTTAAATCATGAATCTTAACAAGCATGAGCCATAAAATTTTGTAAATGCATGTATACTAATTTTTGTCTTGTAATAGTCTGTCGGTGTTCAGCATAAGTGGATTGTTTCTAATTTATTTGAATTAATACATTTTATCTAGTCTGCATGCTTTTCTGGTTTATAATGAAATTATATATGTATGTTCCCTTTGGTGTTGTATCTAATTATATAGTGTTCCTATTCTTGTTTTCCTCCATTAAAGCTGGTATTCTCCGTCCTGCTGTAGGTGCAGGCAAAGGTAAAATGAAACTGCATGATTTGTTAATGTGTGGATTTTGCAGTGTTGCAAATGGGGAAATTGCAGTGGTAAGGACAGAAAACCTTGGACTCCACAATGTAATAATCAGTGCTAGAAGAAAACATTTTTTGGTTTTGTTGTTTTGTTTTAGTTTCTTGTTTGGGTTTTGTTTTTTTTTTTTTTAAGGAATCCAGAATGCTTATTAATACCTTTCATCTGTTTATTTTGCCACAGAGTTCCAGGGGAATTCATTAGCTTTGCTTCAGCAAAGTCTAATTATTTTTGAACATTTAACAGATGTATGTCACTGTCATAAATATTCAGGATCCAGGTGCACTAGCAGTGATTAGCTGGAGTAGAAAAACCAGCACTTTTGTAAAGGAGATTTTTTTTACTGCCTGTGCCATGTGCATTTTTTGTTTTAAAAAAGTAGGTGTGTTCTTGTTCTCACTGCTGATTATTGCTACCCATTTGATCACATTTATTTCATTTGCAAGCCAACTGTGCATAGGAGACAGATGACTGACAATACCCTGTGTATACTTCTCCATTTGAGTATCAGATTGAATATACAGGCAAATGGCTTCCTGCTGTCTTAGGTTCACAGACCTTGTGAGTGAGTGCTTGAGGATATTTCAGTGAGTGGAGCCTATTATCATCCTTATTCTTGAATTCAGTAATATTTAATTCTTTATAATGCAGTTGTTCTGTCAAACAAGGTGTTCATCACATTTTTGCACATAGGTTTTATTAATTTTGATACCTTCACTGTCAGAAGCGAAGACTGTCCTGAGGACTCTTAGGTAGCTCTAAGTCAGAAAGGTGTCTCTATACATGTGTGTCATTTTGTCACAGAGGTATCATTAACACTAATGAACATCTATGCTTCAGATTCTCAGACCATAAACATCACAAATCATGAAATACCCAACATTTTTTACAAACTTGGAAGAGACAGCATAAATTGTTTTACATGTATTTTCTTTCCACGTGATGATCAGGTGTTTTGAATGAGAATAGCTATCAAAAAGAACTTCATTCGCTCAGTTTAGTATAAATCAGACTCTCTCTATATGTATGTATGCAGGCATTTGTGCATATATAATATATATTTATATATGTATATATAAGTGTATTCTAATGTCAGATGCATTTCTGGTAAGTGTATGGAGTTGTGGATCTATTTTAATGACAAATCTGTCTTACTGTTTTTTAGTCTAGTGGTGGCTGAGAAATCAGTACAGATTGGAACAATCAAATTGGCTTGTAATCCTGGACATTAACAGCAGAAATGTAAATTAAGTTCTCATTATTTATAGCTGACTATAAAAGCTCATGCAAGGAAAAGTGGATTCTCAGTGTGAAACTGAGCTCTAATTATAGCTGTATCACAGTCTGTGGCTAGCAGAAAGCATCTTATTTGTAAGATCAGCTGGAGCAGCTCGCATTTCAGAGCTGTCATCTCAGATTCTCTGAAAACTAAGCAGATGTCTTCGTTTGGTTCCATGCCGTTTATGGTTTCAAAGTTTTCACATATTCCTGTAGCATCTAGCTCTTACAATTGCAAAGAAAAGTTTGGAACTGCAAACAGGATGGAACTCAAGCCATGACATCTGTTAGGATATCTGAGTTGCTGCAGGTCTGAGATGAATGTTCTCAGTGGTTACTTACATTAATGTGATTAACTGTTTCGTTTCTGATCAGGGACCATGAGGAAGGAAAAGGAGGATCATATTATCAAGATTGAGTACCAAATTATTTGGTCTCATGAGTGGGTGGATTTGGAAGACAGAAATACTCAGCCCACTCAAGAACAAGCTGTACCCAGCAATGAATTTTTACTCCTCCGTTAAGTGCAGGAGGGCCTATACATATATATAGTTCTTACTAATGTGGACCCAAAGCCAAACCAGGGAGAAGGTGAAATTTTTAAATCCTCCACTTTTTTGTGATCTATCAAAAACATCTCGGTTTTTCATTTTGAAGGGCAGAACTTACCAGAAAAATGTAATTATGCTTTCTCTTTCAATTTGAGCACATTCATCTTGGAAGTTAAGACAATAAGTCTCAGATTCAGCCAGTCGAAATTGCACTGAAATTTCTGTACTTGGTGTTTTCTGCTGGCTAGCTGCCCCTGAAGACCTGCAGCTCAGCCAGTCAGAAACATTAAACACAAGGTCCTGGAGCAATTCAAATCTTCTAAACCTGGGCGAGTTGTGCAACTTGGGACATACTTCACTTCTCAGTAAAACTATATGTTAAAGTGCAGAAAGGATCTTAGAATGTCTCAACATTCCTGTTGTAGTTCTAGAATACATTCCCTGTCTCTGGGCACCATGTGTTTTTTGCCATCTTTTTAGACAGGCATGGGCCCTTCGTTTTCTTTTATTACTTTAAAAACCGTGAAAGTAACCACTGTCTCCGTACTGCTGCACTTGAGACTTTTAATATTTATCCCAACTGAGTTTATCTGATTATAATGACTGTACTGGTGTTAAGTAAAGATATCCAGTATAATTTAGACTAGTAAGTAGAGAAGCAAGTTTTGTGCATTTTTCCCATAAGATAAAACAACAATTTTTAGATGAAAACATGAAATACGAAGTCAAGGCTAAGGGCTTTAGATAAGGGAATATTTTTTTTCTGTAGTTTGGATAGAACTTAGAAGCTCTATTCAAATAGGGGGCAATATAGGGAAGAAATTATTGTCTTCCCTGTAATATGGGCACCATCCTAATAAAAAAGTTCTTTAGACAAACAGTCACATCAAATAGCAGAAATGCAATGGATCTTGTCAAATTACAAGAATTGAGGTGTTTTTTTCTCTAAGGGAATCTTCAGGGAGATCCATGTCATTCTCTCACATGCCCACATGAGTAAATCATGAGACCTTATTTTACTAGATGGGCAAGCTGTCCTGTTATAGTCAAAACTACTATTTGATTTGCACTATCTGTTTTCCTTTCTAATACTATGATGTTATGAATGACTTAAATTTGATCAGTTATGGCACTACAAAGAAAAAATAATTGTTTTTCTTCTGAGCAACCTGTATTCTAAATGTGTCTGAAGACTGCATATGTAAAATATAATGTTTTATACTCAGATAAGCAGTATGCATTGATATTGCCATTTATGTACTGAAAACTAATGACAGGCATGAGATAAGAAAGGTGTGAGAGAAATTTGGAATAAGAACATGCTTACATATAAAATAATTATAGTAGCAGCTGGAAAGTTACTCAGGTGATCACTGGAGTCAAGTCTTTTCTACCCTTTTCCGTGAGAAGTTTTAAATAATTGGTCTATAGAGGAAGGAATCACAGAATCACAGAATGGTAGGGGTTGGAAGGGACCTCTGGAGTTGCACAGGAACAGAAGAGAATTTGACCAGTGGTAGAAATGGAAACTGCTGATTATAATAAACAGCCACAGGGGCTCGTTACTGTGTTCGTTGTAAGCTGAAGTGAAGGGAGTCATGGCATAACATGTCAGTCTCATTTCACAAGCCTTCTTGTTTCGCTTTTCAGTTTCTTTTTGATTTAGTCAACATTTTTATTTGAAAGTAGTCTGCATGCATGCAGACACTGCTAACTGGCAGTCCTGAAGTGCAATTAAAATAAGGTTGTGAGATCACAGTTACCTTTAATTGAACCTAGTGCTTCCTAACAGTGTGGTACTCAGTCTGGTCTGCCCTTTTTGTGTGACCGTCACATCTCAAGTATTATTGACAGAAATACATTTGTTGCAAGGGAGAAAAGCAAGTAGTCTAGCCTCTGGGATTGAAACGATTCTTTTTTTCTGACTGAATCTCCAGTATGTAGCTCTTCACTAGGCTAGAAATCATTCTCAGCTGAGTTCACATCTCTGGTCTCTTCATAGAAGATCAGATCATCTCAGTTTTCTTTGTTCTGTACAAAGTGCTGTTCTTTAAATCATTTTCCCTGCCCACCATCTGTTTTCCCTTCCTCTTTCAATCTTTTCACATGATGTCTCTGCATTTTTTTCTAACGAGTTAAAGCTGCTTTTTCTTTTCAAATTGATTAAAGTATTTTTGTACTGCTCCTTCAGCCACTCTCCCTGTGGAATTTTCCGTGATACATCTATGTGATTCTTTCAGTACAGTCTGCTACGCAGAACCACTGTTCTCTTTTAAGTCAACTGGGAACATTGTTGATGCTTTGCATGCTAGACTAGAGGAGTACGATGGTTATTGCAATGCAAAATTTCCTGCAAATACCTTTTGCTTCATAGATATCACACAAAATCCATGCCCTGCTAAATGCTTATGAGTGAAAGGATTTCTTGCATTTCTTCGTCTTCTGTATTTCTTGCACTACAGGAATGCTCTTGCAATGGCCTAAATAACCTTAGAAGTGACTAATGCCTGTCTCTCACTGCCAGAAATGGAATTAACTCCTACTGTTATATTAAGGCTTGAATTTCATACTGTAAAAATTGTAGGTTAAAAAGGAAACAAAAGCAAAACTCTTCTCTGTGTCTTACAGGCTCTGGCAGAATCTATTACCTTTTTCCTTCATCTTTTCTTGTGTGTGGGTGTGGGTTTTTTTCCTTTGAATTTATTTTTCTCTTTATATATGCATTTTAACTAATTGTCTATGATACATTGCTTTGGTTTTGGTTGGGTTTTTTTTTTTTTTTTTTTTTTCCACTTGACACCAGTCTTTGAATGTGTGCTTGTCACACACCTGCCATTAATTCCTGGAGATCAGGTCAATCCCATGAAGATTGCTGAAGTTTAGTCACTTTGGGGATTATTTAATTTATTGTTCTGCTGAATTAAATTGTGAGAGAAAGTACCTATTCTGTTGTTAAAATCCGTTCATACCTCATGTCATGTCTTATTAAATTCTATTGAATCTGCAGCCCCAGTGAAACTGTGTTATTTGGAGGAACTATGTTCCTGAAAGGCTGGAAGATTAAATACAGCTCTACAAAAAACTCCACTAAAAAAGCACTGGAATTAATTTGAAAAGAAAGGAAAATTTTGCTTTGAGCCTAGGCCTCATTCTCAACAATTGGCAAATGCTTTTATTCCATATCTTGCTACATGAATGAAACCATACTCAGAAGTGCCAGCTAAATTTTGTGTGAATAAAAGAGCTTAATTTACTGGAGGTAGCTGAATAGGAGTCAATCTGTATGAAAACTGTGACTTATTAGCAATCCATTCCCATCAGTTTTAGAACGATGCTTTTGTCAGCACTGCTACACAGCATCGTGCGTGGTTACAGATCAAGAGGGCACAGTGCTCTGCCACTGAGAACTCCTGCTCCCTGAGACAAAGTTTTCTGCCCCTCCTTTTTACCAATTGGTGTTGCACATGCTGAGAGTTTCTGCTAGCTGACAGCTACACATTTTGCATTTGTGAAATTGTGCTGGGAATCATATTGAAGAACTAAGAGGTTAATTATAATTAGAGGTGTGCTGAGAAGACAGGAGTCTGGGTAGATTGGAGGCAAACTTTAAATGTAACCACTTCAATGGTAGATTTTCATCACCTCAGGATACATCAGCCATCTTTTATCTTCTTACATGTGTATTCATGTTGCAAATATGGCACATCTAACAGACTTCACTAAAACTTTCCAGGCCTGATGGAAAACTGTATCAAGCAGTAGTGAAAAAGAGGAAGAATTATAAAAATAATAATTTTGAATGTAAATATGCTACTGAACAACTTTATTGGTGCACTGTATTCAATAGGGAAAAAAACAGAATTTAAATCTGACCAAATAGTACACATGGATAAAAATATACAAACAGCTATTGGTAAGAATCAGATGAGAGTACATCTGATAAATGTAAGCATAAATCAGTCACTTGAGAGGATTTAGAAACTAAGATACCAAGGAAATAAAGGTAATTTTCAGAGCCAACTTAATTGTTATGTAAAATCATATGAACAGAAAGACATTTACCAGATACCAGGTCTTTAATCTAGCAGACAGGTCTTTAATCAGAGCAGAGACTGGAAATTGGAGATGGAAAATACCCTCAAAACACAAGATAAGATGGAGGTTTTCCAGGAAAGGTGATTATCGAATTTGCTTAGTGTTATAGAAGCTATCTGTCATCTGGAGTCTTTCACACAAGTTCAATCCCAAGTGCTCAGACATGAGGAGGGAGAAGTTAGGTGTAATTCTGTGGCATCTGTTTGCAAGGGTTTGAAACAGATTATTACTAATAGTTTCTTCTATCTTTAGCATTGGTGACAAATATCAGTAATACAGTTGTGCTGCCTATTAGACATCTTTTGTGGAAGGGCAAAATCCAGGAAAATACGGGTTTGAGAAAGTATGATTTAATGAAACAAAACAAAGTTGTATTCAGAATACAAACCAGTTGTTTTCTTGACAGAGAACAAATGCTTAGATGCTGATTGTAACAAACATCTGTCCCTATGTGCAAATGAGGAAGGAAGGTTTTATATCCTCTCTGCAATCTCAGACTCTGCACCTTTCTAAATTTAGAACCTGCTATTCTTTCCTCTTGCTACCTTCAAGTGGCACAGAGAAGCAGAATCTAATCCCCTTGCATTACCGTAGTGTATATGGTTACATGGCATGCTAGATTTCCCATAGACAGCTCTCGCTTTGATATTTCTCAGGGGTTTCGTTGTTGACATAGTAACCTAGACGGCTTGTTTTTAAATCTAGTGCTTTCTGTTTGATTTTGTTCAGATTATTTTAGCCAAGAAATAAATATATTCTTTATTACTTAAATAATATATTCCTTATTATTTTTGGTTGGTGAAAGAAATTATATAAAAAATACGTAAGCACAACTTAGCTACAAAGACATCAAATGCGGGAGTAATTAGTTTAATACAGATTGAAGAGTTGGATGAGTACTACTGGAACAGAGTTAAGAAGAAAAAACTGATGCATAGAATTTGATGGATAAAAAGTCTGATATTATGAAAATCTGTAATCATGAGAATACATTTTCAGGAGAATTGATGGAATTTGCATAATTTAGGTAATTTTGAAAAAGATTTAGAAAGTATAGTTTTCTAGACATGATACTCATATTATTTAGCCTGTGCTAGGGGCTCATAGACAGATTTATTTATTTTACTGTGCCAAAGTAAGCCATTTCCTCTTTTTATCTAATTTGGAGCTTCTTCCAGTCAGCCAGACGAACAAAGCCATCCTGGTTTGAGGAGAAAACTATTTAAATACATAGATAAAATCTGTGCAGCACCTCTTGCCTCGAGAACAGGCTTTTGTCTGGTTTATTTTCTGCGTAGGCGAAGCCACTAAAATACTGCCATTTGTCTTTACTGAGACTAGGTTTTTACCTCTGATGTTTCACGGTCCTTTGAGAAGTATTTTTGATGTTGCTTCTAACAGAGAAGATATTTTCAGCAAAGAAAAGTCAGTGGCAGAGTGAGGCATTTTCATTAAAAACTAATTTCATTACTTTGAGGAGCCTCCTCTTTGTATCTGCTCTGTTACACTATTAGTACTATTAAAATCTATTTTTCATTAATATTAGGCAAACAAAAATACTGAAATATATGTCCATTTGTGACAAGTATATTTGGAGAACAAAGAATTAAGGTATGAGCAAAGAAGTGGCTAATTACAGGATGCTGATGAGAGAAGCACTTATTTTCACAGATGTGGGCATTATGCTTATCTGTGAAAAGTATGATTGTCTAACATGAATGTCAGCAGTAAGACACAGTACCTTAAAATGAACAGCTTCTTGCATCCCAGTGATTTGTGTCCTTCACACCAGAGTATTTTGATATTGGCTTTCCAATATCTGACGTCTAATGTTTCAATGTCTAAAGGTGCCGTGAATCCATAATGTTGATGAAGCTGATTTCAGAAATGTTCTGTGAAACTGGAAGTGTCAGTACACACATACTTCAGTTTGTTTTCAGATACATGTGTATCACTTAGCTATGGCATATTTTAACAAGTAAAACTAATTGAATCCTGCATGAACTTAGAGTGTGCATGTGTTACTCATTTAACAGGTAAGGTTTTAATGTATTATTTAAATGTTACTTTACAATGCAAAGTGTTTTTACTCTTTATTTTTTTCTTTCCTACTATCTCTGATGGTGAAGGATATTCAGAAACCCTTTTTGCAACCTCCCCAGTCATGCACACTGTCCGTCCAACATTCTATAAGGGTATTGTCTTCCGTTTTTTATCATTATCAATGCAATAGAGTCGAAATCCTGTAAGGACTTGCAGTTGAGGCATTTGCAGTCTGTTCAGTGACACATGGCATAAGAGGAGGTGTGTACCACCTTCGAAACTCTGTTCTCTCCTACCATTTCCCATTAGCCTGACGGTGTTCTCACTTTCCATCTGTCTGTGTTTTACTTCTAGATGAATAGAAATAACATTTTCCAGAATTTTGGCAATTAGGTATTTTGAAGACTTTGGTAGTTTTTGTGGTACAGGGCATGCTCAGTAGACTACATAGATTTTACTTTATGATTTCATAGTGTAGTAACTGCCTAGGATTCAATTACCAAATATGCTACTTTAGTCACTAATTTCCAGTAATGGAAACAATGACGAATGTGCTATATATTCCCTGTATATGGTCTAAATTAACACAGTAATTTCTTAAAATATTTTTTTTAATGTATGAAGTCACAATTTCGTATTCTGCTTTGTTTTTCTATTGTGTATTCAGTGCAACCACTTTATCCAAGGATCAGAAATGTTACAACAGCTGCCGCTGAGACCTATGCCAATATCAGTTGGGAGTATGAGGGACCAGATCATGCGAACTTTTATGTTGAATATGGTGTAGCAGGCAGTAAGAAGTCATTTCCTTAAATTTTGCTAAAGTCTTCAGATTTATTTTCAAAGATTTTTATAGTAAATGTGGTCCTAAATTGACCCAGTGTTAATGATAGCTCTTAAATGTCTAGAAGAATTATTTTTTTCATTTGATCAGGAAGACCAAATAATTTTCATTTTAATAAACATCGTTATGTAGCGGGTATTTGATACTTAGATAGAATATCAGCCTTTGTTCCTTTGTATTATTTTATAAATTCTTTTTAACGTGAACTTCTAAAAATGTAGTTTGCATGAAGTTGTTTGTCATGCAGTGATTGCATGTGTAAAAATACGGTTACTTGCATTAAAATAGGATATAACAATTTTCCTAAATTATGCCCAATTCAGGAAAAAAAAAAAGAATTAAATAAGAGAGCAAATCAAAACAATATTCTTTGTTAAATTAAACCTTAAAATAAGATATGAACCAACTTACGTACCTTTATTGGTATAAAAAAATGTTTTACTCTTTCATAATACCAGTAATAATTAAAACACAGTTAGCTAGTAAAACCAAGATACTTCTATTCAAATATTCCGTCCTTCTAAAGTTACGACTAAAGATGACAAATCTGAAAATCAAAACATTTTTCTGGATATTGGTCAAAGAAGCAGCTGAGACTGGACTAGAAAAAAGATATGCAAGAGAGAGGTTCAGATTCAAAGTAGAACTTCTCAATTAAAGTAAATATTGACTGAAACTACAGAAGTGTAATTTAATTAAAATGTTTAAAATCTATTTTCATGTATTTTATGATTGCAAGTTCAATAAGCCTTTCAAAAAAAAAAAAAGAAAATAGTATTTCTCTAGTACAATGGAACAAATGTTTAAAATAGTTTCATAATTCATGTACAATGTCTTCTTCAATATATTGCATGCAATATATTATTTGAAGTCATAATTTTGTATGATTTTATTATCTTTTGAGAACAGTTGTGTTTTTCAGCCAATCCATAGTTTAGTCAAGTAACTGTTGATAGTATTCTGTCTAGAAACTTTCAGTAATACAGAGAAAATTAAAATTCCAATATGTTGTTTTCCTAAAATTTTTGTAGGCAAAGAAGATTGGAAAAAAGAAATTGTAAATGGTTCTCGAAGCTTCTTTGTGTTAAAGGGTTTAACACCAGGAACAGCATATAAAGTCCGGGTTGGTGCTGAGGGCCTGTCTGGTTTTAGGAGTTCAGAGGATGTGTTTGAGACAGGTCCAGGTGAGGCACACCGTACCAATTCTGTATCGTAGTCAGAATTGTGGTAGAGCAAGTCCTGAAACGTTGAACTGCTTCTAGCTAAGAGATGTTCTAGCTAGTGTCTTTGCATGTTCTCTTTATAGAGCAATGTTGAATTATTTTATAAACTCCTAAACAATGCCAGCGCATTTATTAAGTAGTTATTAATGTTTTCATCCTTTCAATTCACTCTGCTTGTCTGATGTTTATAATAGGGGCAAGATACTCACTGCTCACACTCCATCTGTGTGCTGTGCACTGAAGATGAGCTACTTCATTTATTTCTAATTAACATAATTAGATGGCTGTATTTAAATAATGTGTACTTTAATAGAGCCAAGTATATATATTTTAAAGCTAACAATCTGTATACGATCAGTTTTAATACAGAAAATCTGAGCTAAAATGTTTGCATAATCAGAAGTGCAGATTCAATTTGTCATCTCACGTAGTCTATTTATACCAGTGTTAAGAGATTCCTACTTGTAAATGTTTCTTTTCCTGTCATATACTGATTTTATATAGATTTCAATAAACAACTATATCCTGTGAATCAGTAAGGCTGTTTAAGTTCCTTATGTACATATTTCAGTCATGTTTCTTCATAAGCAAATCAGTCGTGCGTGTTCATTTAACTCAGAGAAAGGGCTTTATTGGAAGTTTTTTGATGAATCTGTCATTGCCATCACAGCATGTTCTGTTATTATTTGTTGTGTATTTGCTAGCCACTTCTGCTCATTCCAGGCACTTTGGTCAGTGCATAGTTATTTAGCAGTAGCCTCACCAGCTCCAGAATGTTATGATTTAAGAAAGTAGTTTAAATATTAAAATATGCTTGAACAATATGTAATAATTATCAGACAACAAAGTAAATAATTAATATAATGGTTTGAAAGTGAACGCTTTCTGAAATCATAATTTTTTGCTTTGTTTTGTTCCATTTCTGTTCACAGTTTATTGTGTTGCAGGAAAGCTTTGAAAACATGGTGCTGAATAACAGTGCCAAATATGTATGGGCTAAACACAGAGGTTATTTATGTCAGAGACAGCTAGTCATATAAAAGCAGATCTGTAAAATTTTATGCAAATACACATCCAAAGCCTAAAGCAGCAGTAAAGCAAGGATCAAGACTATAGTATAATTCAAAACAAGCTGAATGGAAACCTTTCCAAAAGCATCTTTCTGCACAAAAAGTACTGAGCCAGTACATAAGGAATCCTATACGTACCCAGTCACCTTGGCTCATGTTCTTGAGTAGTTAAGGAAGAAAGGAATTTAAAGACACTCTTTTTTGCTTCTTGATAATGGAAATATTCAGCATCTAGCATTAAATTACATACATAGCATATTTCTTACAGAAAAATGTTGCGTCACACAGTCTTCAACCTAGACCAAAGCTTTCAAACACTGCAAAAATGAAGTGGACAAAGAGGAGAATAGTGGAATATGGAATATGTCCTTAATTAGTAATGAGATGGCAATATTTCATATACGAGGCTTTTGCCACATTTTTTTCTTTGACAAGCATGGCTGTAGAGCATCTTCATAGCGTGCGGGTTTATCCTTTTGAGCATACCAGTGCAGTGTATTGCATTGACTCCGGCATTAGCTGTTCGCCAAGAGTAAATGTCTTTCTGCCTGAAGCAGATGATTTGCTTAGTGTACGCAAGGAATGTTGTGCCGTTTTTAAAGTTGCACTGAGATCTAGAAACCTTTTCCTACTGGATATACAATAAGTTAAGAATACAGGGAGCTGCATAAGTAAGTTTTCATCTTTACTCTTCCCATCTAGCTTGCATAATTTTATGCATGACTTGTTTTGCTTGATGCTATTTCTTACTACATTTGAATGTTAAATGTGCTTTTGCATTTTGTCATGGTATGTATTGTACAGCCTTTAATGCCTTATTATGAATGCATATGTGCAAAACTCAAAATAATTTTAAACTTAATGTGGAAACAAAATTTTGTTTTAATTCATAGTTCAGAGGAAGATTGCCTTTGTGATTTTGCTTGACTGCCACTTAAATGTATTCATATATTTATATATATATAATATTTATTTATATATTTGTATATTTATATATGATATATAAAGTATAAATATATATGTATATAAGCTATATATTTATATAACATATAATTTTTTAATGCAAAAATAGTGTACATTTTTGTGCAATAAGAAAGAGTCAGTTTCTAAAATAACAGAAAGCATATTCTTAAACAAAGGCTGGGAGATCTCCTAATTGTTTACTCCACAGTATCCAGGCACATCAATTCATTGATTTATTTAAATGAAAATCGAGTCATAACTTTGCCCAGTAAGACCAAAAAGAAGCAGCAAAATAGAGTTAATTTTAGCCTAGTACTTCTAAAGTGGAATACACACATACATACATCTGTATGGGATGAAGGGTAGATGCTGTCTCCAGACATCAGAGGTACTTTGAGTTTTCATACAGTCCATGCAAAACCCTCAGGAATCTGGGACCATTGAGAGCTGATGTTTCCAAGCTAGCTTTCTCAGCTTCTGTCTTAACTGGTAAATAATGCTGAGACATGGGCTTGAATTCTGGCCTATAATTAAATATTGTTAGGTTTTATTGTTAGTGTGCTTTCAGCCCAGTGCAGTCTCATGTCAGCTAGCTGTCTACCAGGCAAGCCTTAGGTATTGTCCAAGGGACAGCACCAGCACAGGACTGTTCCCAGTTGTCATCCAACATGTTTTGTAAGGAGAAGAGTTTATGCTGTGTTACCTGGAACTGTGGCTAGAAAACAGTCACTGCTCCAGTGAAAATAGGTTCTCTCTGATGTGGTTTTATGAGCCTTCCCTTAAAAGCATATCTTCTGTTAAGGAGACTTGGAAATCTTTATGGGGCTCTGGGACTTTCACATTTCTGTGTGTAAAGCTGTTCATGCATTGTGGTCTCTGCTTCAGTGGAAGCAAGTCTACAGACCTTCCCTAGCAGATATGGATGAAACATACTGTGCCATTACAGCTGATGTAATCACAGCATCCAGAGAAAGAGACTGACTGAAGGTCTCAAATATAATCTGGTCCTAGTGCGAAGTGTCTACTGAGCTGAGATCTGAAGTAATACTGATCCTTACTAAAATCCTAGGTAATGTACTGGCTGTGAATAATCTGATACCTTAACTCCTGAAGCTGGAAAAAACAACAAACGCTGAACCAAAATGCCCTATGAGTTATGCATAGGAAGTGTTTTGCATGTCACTTTCCTTATTCATATAGGAAGGTGATCTTTGACTCTATTTCCCAAATAGAGGGAGGTCTCTTGGGCAACTCCTCATAGAGTTTCAAACTCTTGGCTTTTGGGGCTGGAGGAGAAGGTGAAGAATGAACAAGATAGGTCTGGATGGATATCCTTCTTCCTTCACTTCATGTCTTCTTCTGTGTGTGGCACACATCCTCTCACCCTTCCCACTTTCCCCCAACAGCAAGTCCTAAGGCCGGTTACATGTAGGGTGTTTCCAAGCAGGGGAACAGAAAATAAGCTTCACCAGGAAAATCCCCCTACTGTGGTGGAGACCAGTAGGAGGGATCCAGCCCTCAGCCCACACAGATAATTCCTGACCTTATTAGTGACTGTAGTGTTTCCTGTGTAGTTTGCTTATCATTTACATTATCTTCCAGCTAGAGTCAGCATTTGGAGAGAAACAGTGCCAAGGAAAGGCTTCCCAATTGCATTGTGTGAAGTCCTCACTAATGCTAAATCATGGCAATCACGATAAATTGTAGGACGAGGTACAGATTTTAGGAGAGGAAGAAAACATGATGCTTAATAAGGCTTTAAAGGATGCTTCATTGTTGATTTTTAGTTCAAATTGAATATTAGGGCCTTGAATGACCCATCTGTTTCCCTATTTCAGACTGATGGGAGTGCATTAGCTAATGAGTATCGGCTTTTTATTCACTTTGAGAATGCAATCAACATGTTTGTATGAATTATAATTTGCAATTTCATTTCAGTAGTTTAATTAATGTAAAATGGTTGAGAATAGTTTTGCAGTTTGTGGAAAGCAATGTAGTATGTGCGCAGATTTTTCAAAGGAGTTGTTAAGCTTAAATGTCGGCAGAATTCTTAAATACTCGAACCTAAATTCTATGCACGTGTACTTGGAAACAATTTGAATAATGAAAATATTCACAAAATATAGTATCATTGTTTTTCTTAACACTGATTTTCACAGTGAATGTTATCCCTTAATTAATGAAAAATGTATAGTGGCTATTGAACTGAATTAGCATAGCATTTAAATGCAGCAAAACATCTCATTTTTCTGTTTTTGTTCTCTAGCAATGGCAAGTCGGCAGGTAGACATCGCTACTCAAGGATGGTTCATTGGTCTTATGTGTGCTGTTGCTCTTCTGATCTTGATTTTACTGATTGTTTGCTTCATAAGGAGGAATAAGGGTGGCAAATATCCAGGTATGACATACAACAATGAGAGTAAAAATCAGCTGCTGGTAATCTGTTAAGGCAGATCTCAGGTTTACTGGAGAAATTACATTTGCTGCTAATTTACATTTATGTTCTGTAAATCGTAAATCAGTCTTATCATTTAGTAGGCTTGTCAGGAGCAATCTGCCTATTGGTAGAAAACCTCAATCCATTTAAGCATAAGAAAAGTATCTCCTCCATTCCTGGAGGGTCATATTACTACATTACCTCTCTGGAGAGGTTTGAGCTTTATTTGAGATACTCGATCCTCCCACCAGTGTTGCACACTCCACTTTCTGAGGTCTAATGCAGGTGGGTTTAACCCACTAAAATGAGTTGAGTTAGAATTTATTTGTTCAGAAAATGTGGAAACATGTACCAGATTATAGCCACCGCGTTACTTTCAAGTACTGGGAATGCATTTCATAGGACAAATCACTTCATACATTATTTTGTCTCAAATACGTTACCCTCCTTCTCAGAATCTGTGTCATCTTCAGCCTGTGCATTTTTGCAGCTAAATTTGAAGCTACTGTCCTTCAGTTAAGATGTTTTTTCCTTCTATAAGTTTTTTCTTTGTGAGAGTTTGTCTTTTTAGGGTTTGGGTTTTTTTTTTAGTATTAGGCCTAGGAATGGCCAAGTATATTTCATAACTGGTAATTAAAAATTGGAAGGATACAATGTACATCTTCTATCAAAACTCTCGTTCCTCTGGGTGTACATATTGTAAAAGGCATATATGTGTGTATGTATGTATGTATGTGTGCATATATGTGTCTTATATATATCTCTTTCCCCAGTCTTATATTTCTGTTTATGTGGTAGGTCCATAGACTGAAGGATAGTGACAACCAGTTTACATAGTGCTGCCTGATAGGATCTCAGAGCAGCTGTTGAGGTATAAGTGGATATGAATGAACTTCGAGTGGGCAGCAAAGGATAATTTAATTTTTCCTTTTCCTCTCCTAGCTACAATACAAAGTACAATTGCTAAGTTTCATGTAAAATCTCGATTTCATTTAGAATTATGTTCTATATTACAGACTCCAAAGGTTTGGAAATATCCAGACTCTAGAACACTCATTTAAAATCAACTCCTAACTTCTTGAAGTTCGTATTGCTAATTTGGACATGGAAAAGATGGATGCAAAAGCACAAAAAGAAAAAATAAACCATACTGTGTTTTAATTTCTCCTGCTTGTTTTGACCAGTTCACTTCTGAACACTAGTGTCAGTGAACACTGAAAACTTTTGCTTTTCATAGGCAAGTCTTTTGTAGCTGAACTTAGCATAGCAGAGCATTTTTAGAAGAAGATAAAATCACTTTATCAAGTAGAAGAATCCTACTCTGCCCAGTCCAACTGTTTGGTTGTTTTATGGAGCGAGCAAAGATTTGTAGTGACAGCAAAGATTAAGTGAGAGAAGCTTCTGTCCCAACTGCCTGTGCCCAAGAAGAGATGGATGATTAAAGAACATAGTGTTATGTAGAGTTGAATGACAAGCTGAAGACATCACCTTAGTTTTTTTCCTAATATTTGGATTTCTTTAGGAGAAAATGAGATTACAGAGGGTATAGGAGAAGTGACTCATAGTGGAGAGAATTGAGCAAAAAGAAGGAAAATTAGGAGAATGAAACAAGTGAAGTGATGACATTGAAGAGTAGGGAGAACTAGGTGGAGTGAGCCACCATCTAGAAGAGGTTAAAACACAGTTTCAGTAAAAGCGTAGAAGGCAGTTGGATGCTAAGGTTGTCATTACTTTGTGGGATCCCTGCTGTGCCCTCCTTTTCTCTGCTTCTGCAGAATGACTAGATGTAAAGTATTAATTTTTTATTCTCACAGATATGCACATACACACACACATATAAAGATAGACCTTGACTGTAATATTTCCAGATTCAGTGTGTACTCTGGTTTATAGCTGTGACTCTAGAGCCAATTGTATTTCTTGTGTCATTGCAAATGTACTGTTCCACAGCCAGTGACAAATGCAAAGCACAAAGTTATTAACTCTTTTTTGTTGTAGTTTCAGCATGTCATCTTGAGATTGCTTATGTTTTGAAAAAAGTAATAAATCATTTCAGTATGAAATTATAGCAGCTAGATGCATTTCAAGGTGTTATGTGTTATTGTAATTATAGGCTTAGAAAATTCTGTCAGGAGTGATTCATATCATCTTAAATAACATCATATAAACTAATGATGTACAAATTAAGTGTGGAAATTACCAGAGAAAAAGATAAGAGATTGTATATTGGATTATATAACTGTGTCTGCTAAACAAGGGAAAGATTTGAGTCATAGCTATAAAAACTGAAATAAAAAGGCAAATGGAAGAACTGTAAAGATAATTCTAAAGTCAGTATATTATTTCACTCTGTCAACAATCTTAACTTACAGGAATGTATATCTTCCATAATCATCTGCCTTCTCAGGTGCTAGCGGATGTGCAAGAGATACAATTGTGTTAAATTAAGTTCCAGTGTAGGTGGTTTTGCTTTGCTTTTGATCATGTTATAGAAAAGAAATTAACAGACCAACTCTATTTTTTCTAATATAAATAATTCTTAAAATACTATTTAAAATTCCGTGGAGTCTTAGTGCACGAAATGAAAGCAGAAAGGGTACTAACTGACAATGAACACAAGTGAATTTGATTCAGTTTTATCAATCAGTATGAGAGGAATATCAAGAGTAAATACAGAGCATGGATAAGTAAAACTAAATTATTCAGATTTCAATAAACAATAGTTCTATTAATACAGAAGTAAAGAAAGCGTTTTAGTAGAATTTTTAACAGGACTTTCTCTTTAATGCTAGAAATGAAAGGAAGAAAGAGTTTTTCTAATGCAGAATGACGTACAGTATTTTGTGCTTGAATGAAAATAAAAACTACAACTAATTAACAGATATTTTTCTTCAAAACAAAAAATGTAACAGCTTAAGGCCCCAGTTAAAATTTTTTTTATTCAAACCATGTTCTTGCCAAATGTGATCAGTTTGAGAAATTAAAGTCTTAAGGTTTCTCGTCTTGCAGTTTCATGATAAAAATTACTATTTCAAATATTTTAGTGAAGGAAAAGGAGGATGCACATGCTGATCCAGAAATACAACCTATGAAGGAAGATGATGGAACATTTGGTGAATACAGGTGAGCAGCTGGTTTGTCATGTTCACTGTTCATATACACACGTACTGTATATAACATCACATTTATTAACTCAAAACTAACTTTTTTGCTTTGTTGACAAAGATTCTGTATCCAGTATTGTATAGAACTATAGATAGCATTTCAACCACACCATTAGAAAAAAAGAAGTAAACATCCAAGCTTAGAATAAGCCATTCATTAATGCAAGGTGAAATCCAGAATCAAACACAATTGTCTCAAAGCGAGGAATCTTTATTTGCAAACCCATCTTTCAGATAGTTGAAATACCAGATACAGTGTCCTTTCAGTTAGGGCACGCTTAGCATTATGAGTTTTGAAAATACATTTCTAATTGAAGCCTAAAAAAGACAATCTTGTGTTATGTTGACTGGAAAATAAATGCATTTAAAATGGCTGCCAGTACTAACACCTAACCCAATAACAAGCAACTGATGTTATACACAGAGGTAAAGGAATGTCCTACAAGAAAAAACAGATTTCCCTTTCATGTATTTCAGTACAAGATACATAGCAAGCAGCTTCAAAGCATGCAACACAGCTCTTATTCCTGACTCTCTTCCTTTATTGTAAATGTAGTCTAGCTGAATCTCCTGGCATCACAAAAAGCATGCCTTGGCAAGTCTGTTCATACAACAATTATGAGTATAGCTTAATAAATTTTTATTTGTTGGGTTTTGATTAGTACAGAAAATGATGTTGTTATTTTCTAAATATATTGATACCATTATATTTTATATGGGTGTTACAGTAGATTTTATAGTGCATTCCTATGTCAAAAGCATTGTAAAAACCCTTTATTACTTTGAAGATGTGACATTTACAAAATGTACATGGACAGTTACAAAATGTACGTGCCCATGTACAGGGAAAAATCAGTTTTTTCAAGAAGGATCTCTATTGCCATAGTTTTTCCATATAAGAGAAATCTGCATCTTGATTTGACTAGAGTAGATTTACAGTTCTAAATACCAAAGAGCGCTTTCTGTTCCTTCTTCCTTGATTTTAAAAAAATACAATACACTGTTCTTAGGTTAATGAGTTCAGAATAGTATTTTATTACAGCATTAAGTGCGTGTGGATTAATTACATTCAGCTGATAAAAAGGGAAGTGTGAAGCAGTGTTTGGAAGCAGAGGTAAATAAGTTTTCTGAGGCAGTCCAGTTTGTATTCTCTTTTATTGCTCCTCTGTTTTTCACTACTTGGAACTTTCAGCAGCAGAAATTGACCTTCGTACAGAATTGTACAAATGATATGACCTCAATACATGTTTTGTCAGGCCTAGAAAAAGACTATTTAAGTCTGCTCTCACGTGTGACCTGTAGCAAGATTTGAATTTATGTCTCCATATTTAAGTGGCTTGAGTTAATACATAGAATCATCTAGTGATTAAAATATTTTATAATGCATTTATCCACCTCATGTCTGGTGAATATGGACAGATGCATGCTAAGCTTTCAGACTTGTTCACATGGAAGGGCTCATCCTATTTACCATGCAAAAACTCCTTTCTAAAATGTATTTCTGTGTAATTAGTCTATATTGGGCTTTCCTCTTTTTTCCTTAGAGACAGGGGCAGCAGCAACCAGTCAGATTACAGAAGATGTCTTGGCACCCCCTCTGCAGCCCAGCATCACTGCAGTCACTCAGTTCCCAGTTTGTCTGCCTTGCATGGCACTGGTCATGATGCAGTGCTTCTTTGAGGATAAAGCATATAGGGTTTCCCCTTGAAAAAAAAAGTAATTTTTTAAAGATCTAGGAATTCGAGTATTTTGAACTTTTTTCATCACTTCAGGTCCATGTCTGCTTGGACAGGAAAGAAACTGGACAAGGAAAAGAAAACAAAAGGTAGCTGTGCCAATTCTCCTGAAGCAGACCCTGTCTTTACCAAAGCAAAGTCTGTGAGATCTGACAGATACAACTTCTTCAGAAGGTCAGGGGATCAATACTCCAGCACCAGATCAGAGACCTCCTACACCAGGAGGAGGGATAGGCAGTCTTCAGAGCTTTCAAGGGTTAGTTCTGTCTCTGCTTCCCTCTGCCGAGAGGAAAGGAGGTCAGACGAATGGAAGTACAGGCATGGCTCTAGACATCATGCTTCTGAGCGACAGATAATGGGGTCGGAGGAGGGCTCAGATTCTCAGGCAGGACAGCCATCCCCTTTCCAGCAACCCCTCAGCTGCAGCTCAATTCGTGGCTCAGTGGCAAGGCAGAATTCTTCTCTCCAGCACTGGTTCAGCCAGACCCCAGACCACAGCTCAGATTCAGAAGACACTCAGAGCTCCTACCGCAGGAATGTAAGACCTACTACTACTCACTTCTCTGAATCTGACAAGAATTCATTAATGAAATCTGTAATTTTGCCTGAGCTAGCTACTGTCTTAAAGGATGCTTTGACAGCAGCCAGACAAAGTATAACTTCTGTGGCACAGGCTAGACCCCATTCAGTAAAGCATCCCAGGGTACCAATTACAGAAGTTCCAGTCATTCCTCTAGAAGCAACTGGCAGCAGTTCTCAAACTTTTGAGTCTGATCATATGGACATTTTAAAAGATCAAACAGCATCTGGGAAGGTGAAGTCTGGGGCTAACAAGGCCTTGGAGGTTGAGTCATCCCCTGAAGATGGGGAGGTGTCATCTGGATCCCCTACAGAAGACCGGGAAGGACCAGACATCCGTAAGTTTGACATGGAGAATCAGAATTATCTGTTCAAGCACATAAGGAGAGTGTTAATGCTAAAATCTTCCAAACCTGAATGTGCTTCAGAAGAACTGCTTATGCCTTCTGAAGAAGGCAAGGTAGATAATGCACTTCCTATTGATTCAGCAGTGGAAAATCTTGTGTGTAGTATTTGGGGTAATCCTGAGGCAAAGCATGAAGCCCCAGCAATCCTACAAAAGCTCTATCCTTTTCCGGTGCAGAAAGCTGCTTTGTGGGGGGCCTTGCCTCAGGTAGATAGAGCATTGGTTACTGGTGATTCTGTGCTATCAGTGGCTGCTAACATGGATGCTCTCCCTAAAGATCCTACTGATAGAAAGGTGGAGGAAGAAATTAAAAGATCTTTCAAGCTAGCTGCAGCCCAGCTTGGAGTATTGATCTACTGCACTTACGCTTCTAGAGCGTTACTAATATGGTTGGAGGAAGAACGAGCCAGATTCAAAAAGAAATGGGTCCCATCTGGTGCCATGCAGAGGAAACACAGGCTATGTAAAATTGCAGCTAATTTTATCCATGATGCAGCTGAGGACTCTCTTAGACTCACCATTAAAAATATGGCGTGCCTCACTGTAGCCCGGAGAGCTGTATGGCTACGTCCTTGGACCTCGTCACTAGATCTAAAACGTAAACTGCTGTCTTTACCATACACTGGAGGCAAGCTATTTGGTGAATCCTTGGTCCAGATCATGAAGGATTTCTCAGAACACAAACACTCTTTACATCAGCTGAAAAAGAAGAGCTCTGTTGGAAGCTCTTCATTTTCTAATCCTCACAAGTGTCTGACCTCCTTTCGTTCTCCTCCGAAGTTTAAAGGAGGGAAGGGGAAGTATAAGGTCTCACAATCATTTCATGCCAAGTACGAAAGGACATCTCACTTTCAGCGAGACACCAGACCATCAAGAGGAACTTTCTAAGAACATAGACTTGCTTCCTCCTTTCTCAGGAACTGGGAAGACTGAAAGACTTGGAAATTTATACTGAATAGACTTCAGTATTTCTGGACAAGTAAGCCCAAAGCTCAGAAAATGAGTTGTTTCAAAATAAGATTTAAATTATTAGATTACATAAATCTTAATGATTAATTAAGATATTCTAGAGAAGTCATAACTCTCAATTCTGGGGGAGGTTTTTGTCACATTCAATTTCTAGGCTTCCCAGTATTCTTGGGATGGCTTGGACTTGTTTGAAGTTTTGCACTCTTGAACTTCATCTAAGAGCATACTTTCTGCAGAACGAGCCAACATCGGATTTTCCTGCCGTGTTGATCTAACAAAGGAAATAATGCTTTAGGAAACACTGGTGTTTCAGGAACCGCAGAATAACCGGGTACAGTACATTCCTGTGACTGAAGGAATACCTGCATTTTTACATAATAAGCAAAAATAGTGCCTCTGGCAAACTGCACTACAAGCCCAGTGGTTTCCTGAGTTGTAGAAGACTGAGGTAGTAAATTGTGGACAGTCAATGCTTACACCAAGAAACTGCAAGAAATAGAAGTACCACCACATATGTGTGTTTATTTAAATTAAAATTAAAGACTATCTAGTGCTCCTGTTCAGGTCAGCGTAGGTGTATAAATGAGCCTAAATTTCCGTCCTGGGCCCTAAATCAAGAGAAATTAAGAAGTTATGGCATCTACAGACCTGTGGATTCATAGGTAGGAAGAGACTGCAATCACACATTTCTTAGTTAACTTCACAGGAAGTAGGAAAGTCTAATGTCTCGTTGCAGTCTGCAGAGTGTTCTTAGGAAGATCAAACAGGACAAGGCTACTACAGTAGTAGGACTGCTGGTGTGGTAATGCAGGGTGTTTGCATATTTTGTTGAATTATTTTCCTTCTTCAGCATTTTGACACGTGCAATATTTTTCCTAGAAATTCTTGGATATGCTGTGAGAGACCTTCTGGAAATAGTGGAGCGTTCTGAGATTGCTAGATAATATATTACTCTTCCTTCTTTTCTGGATTGATTAACAATGAGAATATAGTTCGTAACTACAATAGTATTTTTTTCTCTTGTGGTTACTCAAGTTTTATTGCAGCTTAGGTGTGTTTCCAGGGGGACCTAGCAATGATTTGTGCCTCAGCACCATAATTCTAAGCTGAGTCTCTTCTAGTGCAAGAGATGATGTCAATGGACTGCCTGAAGAATTCTTGTCTCTGAATAGTCCGATTGGATTTGGCAGTGGTCTTATAGTGTCCTCATTGCCACACACGTGGTTTCTTTGACGGTTCTTACTTTAATTCTTGAACATCTGTGTCACT